GGATACAATTTAATCTTAAGTATCTAAGTAAGGAAAGTTTGCTTTTGTGTTCTTAAGCTCCCCTTTCTCGTAGTGAGCTCCCCCACCCGGTCAGTTTTACTCTGATGCAGAGTCCAGAAACTGCAGCCCACCGCCCTGCTCCTGGGCCTGGGGCCTCCAGCGGGAAGTTGGGCTCGGCTCTGGTGTGCGGGGCAGAGCAGCCAGCGCCCACGCCGTCCAGACGGGACCGTGCAGTCACCCGATGTGCCACGCCGGCGTCCTGGGAGCCACCCTCTGCGAGCACCCAGGCGGAGCAAGGATTCTTGGCCTTACCCTGCGCCAAGAGGTCAATGGAGCCACAGGGTCCCTGGGCTCCCGAGGAGGTAGGGGGCGTTGGAGAGCCGCCTCTTGGCAGGCAGCCGGTCAGCCTTCCTCAGCCATCCATGCGCGGCCACGGCCGGAGAAACCGTCGTGAGTTGGATGTGTCCCAGAGGGAGTCTGTAGCATCGAGTGCACACACCTTTGCCAACTTCCTTCTGCGATGGTGGCTGCAGAGAGCGCTTCCTGCTTTGCCAGCTCACACCAGAGCCCTGCCGGTCCACACGTGGAGAGTGCATGTACAGGCCTGGAAGGGCGCTGGCCCCAGGGGGCCGTGGGCACTCACGCCGCCACCCTCAGCTGCGGCGCACGGGAGCTTTTCATCAGTGCCACACACTCTTTGTAAATCGACTTCCGTGGCCCGGGTGCCCCCTGCACCGCCCGGCAGACTTACTGTCCCTGCTGAGGGCTGCAGGCTGACCGCCTGGGGAGGCCCCTTGGAGAGCCAGGGCCAGTTTCTCTGTTGGGATCTGTCCAGTTACCAGCAGCCAAAGTCAACTCTCAGAATGTCCTTTAGCCTGGGGCCGCAGTTTCTGGCAGTGGGATGAGCAGCCTCGGGTGCAGGTGGCCTGATGCCCTCGCGGGTGACAGCTGCTGTTTCAGCTCCCCAGCCCCTTCCTACCGCCCAGCCCCTTCCTACCGCCCAGCCCCTTCCTACCGCCTACACGGGAGGGGGGGAGGCACGGGCATGCCATGCGGGTGCGTTCTCGGTTGAGGATTCTGCAGGCGGCAAACTGGAGGGGTCGGCTGGGGGGGGGGAGGGGCTGCCGCAGCGGAGCAGAGGCCGTGCTGTGGAGGCCCCAGCCAAGGGGCAGACTCTGATGAATCACTTGGTTGCCAGTGAAAGCCAGAGCGATGCCAGTTTCAAGCAGCTTGGGGGTGGGCGCGGGAGAGCTGCCTTGCATCAAAGTCGCCACGTGCTCCAAGCGTGTGAGCCACGCAGGCTGGGGGGGGGGGCTTTCCGCGAAACCTACGCCCTAGACTCAGCGGGTTAGAGTTAAGGTGTCTTTGGGGTCCTGTCAACCAGAACGCCAGAGAGCGCACAGATGGTGGCCTCTGGTCACGAGGCCGCCACGCCCAGAGGTGGCTCGGTGTCGACTGAGACGGGTCACAATTTGGCTTCGTGGTTTTGGTTTTGAGAGCGCCTGTTCCTTCCATGATCTCTGCCACAAAAATGAATTTCCAGAGTTGGAAGGCCCAAAGCTTTCTGGGGCTAGGAGAGTGTTTTGCACAAACATGGTAATACTAAGTAAAGAGAGAACAGAAAGAGAGAAAGTGCATGAAAGCACTTAGCAAAAAGGCATTCAGTTAGGAAAGAAAACAAAAGTTAAAAGTGAACAAAGTAACAAAACTATAAAAAAAAGAAACACAAGCCTGTCAAGGGGAAAGTTCTGGGCTTGGCTGTCTGTTTACGACCTCTGACCTTTTCTGCAAGGAGTTATGCCCTCACCTTTGATATCAAAGGAGAAGGGCCAGTTTTCTTTGCTGATTCAGTCAAATGTGCTTCCTTTATATCATCTGACTTTTCCAATTTACTACGTGTCACTTGGTGCCGTAACCCTGTTAAGGCATCAAAATTCAAAGCAGTTTTTCCTTTAGTGGGAGAAAGAAAACCCGAGTCTCCTGCACCCCAGCAGGGTGACTTTTCTCCCTCACAGGCACTGTCCTCGCCCTAACTGGAGCCCCAAGGCTACTCAGCACTCAGGAAGGGATCTCCTCAGGCTTCCTCCCCCCACCCCCACCTCTAGGCCAGATCCGACTCCCTGGACCTGGCCCAAGTGTCCCCGTCGCCCGAGTGCAGAGACGGCAGGACGGCACGACTCCTCGTCTTTGTGCTTACGCTGTTTGAGCTGGACTTGGCACAGGCTGAGGCCCATGGCTGGCATGGCTTGGCTGTCACTCATTTTCCTGGGTCACTGTGGCCAGTGTACCCCAGCCGGGCGTAATAATTAAATGACTGATCCCCACGAAGGGGAGGAGCTGGAGTTAAACTTTATCCTGGCTGTCAACATTCACTCGCTAGGAAAAGCGCAGGTTGCCACACTTTGGTGCCCTGTTGCCCATTGTGAAATGTCCTCTCCGCACAGGTCCCGGGTTCCAGAATGCTCCTGCACTGCCGGAGAGGCAGCAGTTTGCTCTGAGAGCGCACTAGGTGTCTGGCCCTGTTCAGGCGCGAAGCCCACTTCTCCTGAAGTCAGGTCGTCATCTTTCCTTCTTCTAGAAGCTCTGCCAGCCTGGGGTGAGCCCACCTGGGGAGACAGGCCGCACCCCGCAGCGCTCACCTTGACTTTTCTCTTCCCCAGTCCCTCACCTAGTCAATGACCAGTGCCCTCAAGTCTGCCTTCGCCAATTTTTTAAAAAGATGTATCCATTTATGTTTACAGAGCTGGGGTACAGGCCAGAGGCGTGGGGGTAACAAGATTCACCAGAGTCAGAGTGGGGAGCAGAACAGGCAGATTGACCAGGCACACTGCTGAGGGAGCAACAGGCGGGCAGGAGAGGCCTGCTGTGCCCTGGGGGTGCTGCAGTGGCCTCAGAGAGCCTCACAGCGAGGTGCTTTAACCTGCTGCACCACCAGGGAGGGCCCTGTCTGTGCCACTTTTACGTCTGTTTCTCCCTTGCCAGCGCTGCTCCCGGATCTCTCTGTTCCAGGCTGTCGGAGACGCCTTGACCCCGATCGCGGATTATTGGGGGGCAGCACAGGCAGGGTCTCAAGGTGGGAACGGCGTCGGCGAGCGGCGATTCCTAGAAACAGGGGGAAATGAGGGGAGCGGGCGGGCGTGAGGAAGACACGGGAATGGGAGTTGGGTGCAAGTCTTCGGCTCTGCCTTCAGCAGAGGTTTATTTTATACGTTTCAAGCAGGCAGAGAGGGATGATATTAGCAGATGAAATGGGCTGAGATCAGGATCACCTTTTTGCTAAGAATAGTCTGGGGTCGTTTGACCTTTAGTTGAGATTATAACATTTTTAAAATCAATCTATCAGGGTTAAAACAGGTACATAGATTCAAAGTTTAAGACTAATATTACTATATTTACCATAGTGAAGATTAACCAAAATAAAGCCCCTTAAACATTATCTTCTACTTAACGCTTTCATTCTCATAGAGACATCCTAGGGGGGGTGAGGGCAGGAAGAGGAAATTTCTTGTAAATCAAATTACAGTAAAGTTCTTTGAAAAACTAGTTAGAAAGTTTTGAGTTTCCTTGAGGTCTAGAGAGTTGCTCTGAATAGGCGACTTGGGTGAATTTCCATATGTAAAGACTAGGTAGTAGAAAGCTGGAGTGGTTATTTAGAAACTGAGTAGAAGGCCATGGGAGATAGCGGGGTGACAAGATTTCCATTTTCCTCCATCCCGACAGTGAGAGAGACTCTGTAGTAACAGCCATTTGCTTCTATTAATCAGCCAGTTGTTTAACGACTTTTGACTTCAAGAGGAATGTCTCGCCCTGGTGCAGTGCTAGCTTGTCAGGGCAGGCAGCGCCTTCTGAGGCTGAGGCAATCCAACTGGGGCAAACTGAAGGTTGCTCAGAATATTTTGACATGACGATCATACAAAAAAGGGAGGTCATGACATAAGTCAGCGTGGAAGTCTGATTTTTCAGGGCTTTTCCCCTCCATCCTACCGTGTCTGTCGACAGAGGTTGCATAGCTCGTGTCACCAGACGTCGCTCCTCCTGGCCCCAGACAGCTGGCTTTGCGTCTCTGGCTCTAATGCTAATGCCGTCGCCTCAGAGACTGCTCCTGAACCCATTCTATGCCCGCTTCTCCCCAGCCCCACTCTTAATCTCAGGACTCTGCTTTGCTGTCTTATTAGCATTAATCCCACCGGCTGGTGTGTTTGCACCCCACCCCCCTGAAAGCCCAAGCTCCGCAGCGGGCCCCTTATCTGCCTCGCCAGCTCTAGGCCAGCGCCTGGGAGCGGCAGGGCCTTAGCCTCAAGCCCTCTGAAAACCCAGCCTTGGAGAACCCAACTGTCTTAACTATTCCCACGGGTACCTGGCATCCCCCACGTCCACCCCGCCACCAGGCTGACTGGCCTCAGGACCATGACCTCAAGCGAACCTCTAGTTAATTCTGCTACCCTGGACCACTGTTTCACAACTCTCCCTTCTCATATTGCCAAAGCCCCTCTCCCCACTTAAGCCCACTTGACGCCCGACTTCTCATCTTGGTCAGCCAGCAGGAACAATCCCGGGGGACTCCAGGCTTTGCTCTCGTCACTGAGTGGTTAGTAGACAGTGTTCTGCTCGGATTCTGGTAGAAGCACAGACGTGCCAACCTCCCACGCCTGGCACGCTGGGTCCTGCCCCTCTTACTCAAGGGCTGGCTCCTGTTTTTCTATGGACTGGACCATTTCATCAGCATTCAACACGCTTCGATGCTGAACCCACCTGCCAGCAAAGCTGCTCTCCCTTTGACCTGCACGTCTTAGTCCACCTGTGTCAGCAACACCGCACTGATAAGGAAATGGGAGTCGTGCGCAGGCATGGGGGTGCAGGCACTGGGGCGCAGGTGGCTGTGCAAAAGCCAGATGCTGGCCTTTCTATTGACAGAGAGTAAGAGTCAAATTGGAAACCAGATTTAGGGGTTTTGGAGGGGAGTCCACTGAGGTGCTCCCCACCCCCGGCCCCAGACGTAGTAACCAGGCCCCACTGGTCAGCCCCTGGGCTGTGCTGCGCCTGTCTGACGTGCAGGACCCTGACACCACAGTCCCGCTCCTGTCTTTGGCTCCCTTTTACAACGAAACTGTTTGTGAGGGGTGCGAGGCATTCTGTGTCTACTTTCTTTCCTCCCATTCTCTTTTTCAACCCAGTCTAATAGAACTTGCACTCCACAGTGTGCAGAAATCATTCTTGTCAAGGTCACCAATGACCACCATCTTGTCCAGCCCAGTGGCTATTGTTTTAATCATTTTTTAAAAGATTTATATATTTACACATACAGAACTGGGGTACAGGCCAGAGGTGCAGGAGCGGTGAGAGGCTTCACCAGAGACAGAGTGGGGAGCACAACAGGTGGATCAGCAAAGCACACTGCTCTGGGGAGACAGGAGGGGTCTGCTGCGCCCTGTGGTCACCTCCGGGACAGGGGATCAAACTCGCACTGAGCGGCTGCAGCCAGCTTGCAGTGCTGCGCCCTAACCTGTTGCCCCACCAGGGAGGGCCCAAATCATCCTTCATTACTGTACTTCTCTCGGTTCTTTATCACTGAATCCTGCAGGCTCTGCTGTTGCAGTGAATTCGCATGTTACCACTGCTCACCCTCCGGCGCTGCCCAGCAGCCCGGTCAGTCCCGGGCTCCCTGCTGCCCCCCCCCCCCCCCCGACCTTCTCCAGGCTCCAAACGGCCTGGGCAGGAAAACTTCCACCAGCGGCGTCTTACTGTCAGTGACCCTCCGTGGCTGTGCCAGAGGTGCAGCTCAGCCACAGGGGAGGCGCTAACCTGAAGTTGGAAGTAACAAGCATTTGGGTACTGGTGGTGCAACTTGCCACTTCGGTGGGTCTGTCTACACACAGGGGGGAGGGGAGAAGTAAGTCAGAGAGCAGCACGCTGGCAGAAGCCCCTCGAGAGAAGCTCCCGCGACAGTCTGAAGAGGCTGCGCAAACAGCCAAGGAGGAGGTCAGGGCAGCCCCCTTACACGACCTCACACCCAACTCCATCCCTGTCTGAGGCTGACTGCCCCTCCTCCTCCTAAAATCCATGCTGGAGACGAGGGAGCGGTCGTCTGGTCTCTGCAGAGCGGGAGAGTGCCTGGCGTGTGGTGGGTGCCCGGGCACTGGGAGACACACATTAGCTTCACAAACAGTGTTCCGAGTGCTTATAAATACACGCATCAGAAGTCGTGTCTTTTTAGCTCACATCTAACGTCTTTCATTTAGGGGTCGGTGAGGATGGGTGTACTGCAGCTTTCGCGGGAGTTTACGGCAGGTGAAAGCACCAGATTAACCTAAGAGGGTCGAGCAGCTGCTGACCTACCGACCGCAGGGAGAAGGGGGGGATCCTGCCCCTGCATCTGGCTTAGCAAAGGGAGGCAAGCAGAAGCGAGTGTGTTTATTACAGAATCAGGACTGAGGACTTAAGCCTGGGGAACAGTCTCCAGGTAGCTCTTGCTGTTCAAGAAGTTCCTTCACAAGCCAGTGGAAACCCCCACGCTTGGGGGGTCTCAGTGGGGATTTCATACAGTCTACAAGGAAAACATTTTCAAAGGTTTTTACAGGGAAAGTGCAGCAAGTGCCTGATTAACGTATCTACCTCACATGAGATTTATTTTTATTTATTTTTGCACACAAGAACTGGGGTGCAGGCCAGAGGTGCAGGGGAGAGAACACTCACCAGAGACATGTTGGGGGCAGAAGAGGCGGTTGACTGAAATCCATTGCTGAAGGGAACAGGCCGGGAGACAGGAGAGGTCTGCTATGCCCTGGGGGTCAGTCCCGGTCGGGGATCACGCTCAGGGCTCAGGCCTCAGGCCCAAACACAGGCCTCAATGGTGATGAGAGCCTGATAGTGCTGAGACTGTAATCCCTTGGGCCACCGGGGAGGCCCTGGCCTTATCTTTTGTTAACTGGGAGATTTAGCAATGTCATAACCCTGGGAACTAGTCTGTTCTTGAGGCTTGTGGTTGGCACGGAGACCACTTTCCTTGTTCAAGATGTTCCGTCACCAGCCAGTGCAGCTATGTAGTACATCTGCCCTTGCTCCCATGCTGGCGACCAGGAAGAGGCATACCTGACGTCACTTTGGAGTTAGTGGGGCTGGAGTGCGGGGTCCTTGGGTCCCCTTTCCTCAGCGTGTGGCGAGTTTCTCCACCAGGCAGAGACTAGTTATCCTTAGAGAGCAGGCTTGTCAGGGAAAGGACGAGGAGTGAAGGACC